CTGGTCTACAGAGCGAGTTCCAGGTCAGCCTCCAAAACAATACAGAGAAACCCTGTCTCAAAAAACCAAAAAAGGAAAAAATATGCATATATAGATATAGTATAGTATGTTGGGCACAGGGGAAGTTGGAAAGAGAAAATGAGCATGTGTACATGATTAAGATGTACTGTGTATAGATAGATATGAACATTTCAAATCATAAAAATATTTTAATTAAATTTTTTATTAGATGATACCTAAAAATATAAAATAGTATATATACCAACGGGGCACCAGGGATATTTTGCATGCAGCTAAATCGGGTTAATATATCTACAATCTCCAATGTTGACCATCGAGATGACAAGCATGTTGGATTATATTAAATGTCTTCCTGAAGTTTGTTGCTAGAGTATTACAGAAACACTCCAGGCCTGCATCCTCCTTCTTCTGTGGTATCTCCTACTCCTCACCTGATGAAATCTTCCAGTCTTTTATATATCTGACACGTCTCAGTTTGGAATCCACTCATTTAGATAGAAAAGACCTTGAGTAACTTCAGGAAAGATGGCGGACTAGAAGCTGTTGCCATGTTACCTGCCAAAGGGCAGAGGTAAGGTCAAGAAAAAGGACTCCCTTCCAAAGACAGAAGGAGAGGAGGAGCTTCAGAAAACTACACAAGGCAAGAAAGGACATCTCACCAGTGCAGAGAAACAGAAGGAGGCACAGTGAAAAAAAGAGCACAGCCAACTATAGCCCCAGCCATGCAGCTGCTGGAGCAGGGACACAGAAGACTCAACTGAAACTGATGCTCTCACTCTATTGTATTAACGAAAGCTTTGATTTTAAAATTTTTTTCTTCCCTTTCATACATTTGTGCATTTCACAGTCCTCATTTTTCTCGCTGGGGTGGGGTGGGGGGGACACTGTGTTTTTTGTTTTTTCTTATTTATTTTTGCTCACATTTTGATTTTTTCTTAGTATTTTTATTATGTTTTGTATTATTTATTCACACTCTTCCATCAATCTAATTTTGATTGCAAGCTATCTCATTGCTGTAAAATACCTTTTAGAGTTTCTGTTTTTATTTTTCACAGATCTCTTGACTTTTCTCTTCTTCATCATGGTCTTCTTCTATACCTAACTTTGTCTTTTCGTTAATTTAACTTTGCTTTCTGCTCTTACCCCCACTGTTTGCCCTGGCTCTCTCTACCTCATCAATTTCCTATTTTCACATTTAGTCTAAATAATCAACTTCACAGCACACTACATTAGTTTTTGCTATCTTCCATTTTAAGGTAATTAGCTATATGTTGGTGAGTTTTCATTGTTTTTAAGTGTACATGTCTGTCATGTACAGTCTTGGTAATATTGCTGCTGGTTCAGTATGTTTCTCCTCTCTGAGATGTTTTTCTTCTATCTGAGCTCTCCTGGGGATTGATCCCTCAAGGGCAGGCTGCTTACTAAGAAGATCAAACACTAAGCCTGGAAGATATATCCAGACCAAGAGATGCAAACTGCAATACACACACTCAAGAAACATTGAAAAGCAAGGCAGCATGACTTCTGTAGAGATCGTGGCTTCTCTGCTACTTCATTCAAGACACTGAATGGATTAAAAAGCTGGAGGAATGTTTCAAAATCACCAGAGTAAATGACCAGTATCATCAAATTTGAGATATACAAATGAGCTGATGAATAAAGTAAGATTATCCCAGGGCCTGGAGAGAAAGCTAGCAACATAGAGAAGAAAGGCAGTAAAATAGATGAGAGAATCCGCAATATAGATGAAATAATCAGCAAAGTAAAAGAGAAATGTAGCAAGGCAAGCTTCCACTGCCTTCTAACAAGCTAACCATGTTGTCTCCGTATCCGTGTGGAGAGCCTGCCTACCACACAACAGATCAAGGACCACACCCTGTCTCCCTCCAACACCTAACCCTCACCATCTCAGGAACCACATGGAACTCCTGTCTAGTCTTCAGGTGAGAGGCCATACCTCTGGCAACCCTGGCACCCCATCTCCGTTCTGCCAACTCACACAGAAGTCTTCTGGTGAGATCAGAAGCTATGCCTTCCCCCTAGATACACTGGGATTCCTCAGAAATCCCATCCATAAATCAGTACCAACTGGATCTATATTAAACGTCAAGCATCAGGTAAGCTGATCCTAATCCAGCCAAACTGATATTAAAGCAAGCCGAGATCCAAACGTCTATTCAAAATGGAAGCTCATCTCAATAGACACAACAAAATGGACAAGCCCTAAAACAAAACCACAAGATGACACATCTCTCCCCCTAAATTACCAATCTATTAGTAACTATCCAAAATGAGAGTATGGCAAAACTCCACATATTTCAAAAAAGTGATTATAAACATGTTCCACTAAATCAAGAACACAAACCATTGTGAGAATTTAAAAAGAATAGAAACAAACTCCTGAATGAAGAGCAAAAAGTTACAAATCAATAGCTGAATGAAATAAGAAAGACAGTAATATGAAAATAGAATTCAACAAAGAAGTGAATATACAAAAAAAAAAACTAAAATGAAGCATACCAAGGCTTGGAGACAAGGTTGAAGGACTGAAACATTCAGGACAAGTTGATAAATAGATAAATATAATGAAACACAAAGAATAATATATATATGAAATCCTCAGGAAACATCAAACTTCCAAATCTAAAAATGTTGGATCTCTAAGGACAGGAATTCCATGGCAAAGACATAGGAAGTATTTTCTGTAAAAATCATAAAACAAAGACAGGACTTTCAGAGGAGGGACTCCATTTGCCCAAGAATTAAGACCAACAATCGCCAAGTAGGACTTCATTAACTACAAGCTGCACAGTTAAAGAAATAATCAACAGGGTATAAGAGGAAGCCTAAATATGGAAAAGAATCTTTCCCAGCTATCCATCTGACAGAAGATTAATATCTAGAATATACAAAGAACAAACAAAATAATATGAATACTAATAAAACCAAATGGCCCATTGAAAACATGGGTCTGGACCTTAACAGAGAATTATCAGCTGAAGAAACATCTAATAAACATCATTAAAGTGTTCATCATCCCTAGCAATACAAAACAACCACAAAAACTCAAGCTTTAAGATTTCCTCTTACTTTAGTCAGTAAAGATCAACAAAATAGCTGACAATACATGCTTAGTGGCTGTGTAGGGAAATGGGGACACTTATTCACTGTTGGTAGGGTAGCAGCTGGCACAGCTTCTATGGAAATCAGTTTGAAGAATCTCAAAAGGCTAAAACTAAATCTACCACATGAGCCCATTATGCCACTCGTTGGCACATGAGTGAAGAGCTGTTGGAAAGATGGAGGAGGGAGTAAGGTCGATATTTTTGTTTGTTTTGTTTTTAATTTATTTTCGGGGGAGGCATACTGCAGGAGTAAGGGGCAGATATGGAACAAGTGGGAGGTGAGTGGGATCAGGGTGCGTGATGTGAATTTCTGAAGAATCAATAAAGAATTATTGTTGTTATTGTTGAGTGAAGCCTTTTCCTTGCCAGCCGCTTTGGTTTTTCCCCACCAGTCGCCTGGGCTCTGCCACATTGTAGTCCCCAAATAACACACAAGATGCTGTATTAATTATGAAGCTGTTGGCAGTTTGCTTGATCTCTTACTGGCTATCTCTGACTTAACCCCATAATTGTTAATCTAAGTATTTCTCTTACTGGAGAAAGGGTCCGGACTTCTTACCCCTATGGCGGCTACATGGTGACTCCCTGTGTTTCTCCTCCCCAGAGTCCTCCTCGACTCCTAGTCCCACCTATCTTGCTTCCCTATTGGCCAACAGTGCTTTATTGACATATACACAGGACTTCCCCATCAAATTACGTTTCTTTTTAAAAAGAGGAGCACCAACATCAGCATGTTCTTACTCCAGACACCACGTGATAAAGCTGCCTCACCCTCCTCATGACGCACCTTCAAACTGCAAGCAAAAACACTCTCCCTTAAGTTGCTCCCGCCAGGTATTTTGACACAGTGATGAGAAAAACGACCAGTATGTGACCAGTATGCCAGGTCAGGGGATGGTGGTGCAGTCGGCCTTTGTGGGGAAGGCGGAGCATATTTTAGGGTGGGTGATAATCTCTGCTCCCTCCTCTTCGTTACGCTGCAAACCTGAAGCTGCTCTACAAGTGACATCTACAGATCGAGTCACATGCATGAATCAGCTTCGTGTCCGTTAGCAGTCTCATCTCTGCGCCAAGGACATGAACTCAGGGAGTCAGAGTGGCTCTCGAGAACGGATGTGGAAGCTTCCAGAACAGTGTGAATCGCTTGGGTTGGACTCACTCTTCACATGGTCTTGTATGATTCCAGCTAGTCTCTGGGGAGGAACTGACAGTAGGGATGTTTAAATGAGTTCAGCTTCGGATGTAATAATCTGGAACCCTGGAACCGTTATACATAGCACTGTGCTCCTTACAGGGCCATTCATATTCCTGAGTGTGTGACTGTACCCACAGTAGGACCACTGGAATTCCCGAGTCTGCCTCTTGATCTGGGGACAAAAGCATCCTGTCTGGAAACTGCTGGCTGGGCTACTTCTAGGCTAACGTTTATGCTGCATTCATGACCATCTATCCCTTAACTTGACAGAATCACAAGCGCTAACCAGGCAGGGCAATGCAACTACGAGAGGCTCGGCAGGAAGAGAAGCCCAAAGGACATCATGCGTTCTGAGTAATCTAGCTCGGCTTGGTGTCTGTTGTGCTTGGCTTACCCGCAGTAATTGACGTATTAATCACAGGACTAATTTAGTGTGCAGAATTGTAATTTTAATAAGACCTTCATCTAATCTCTTTTAAAACGATTAATGTAGCAGCAGATATGAAGAAGCAGATGTCAGAAACCCCCACGACTGAAATACCATCAAATTGACATCAGATTGAGAAAGTGTGGAGACAGAAAATTCCATTTATTGAAATAACCCCCACGGCTCCCTTTGTCTTTTGCTTAATACTGAAAGAAGGAATGAGAAGAATGGGTCTTTTGAAAGTTCTAATTCTGCTGTATTATTCAGGATTCTCCAGAGATACAGAATCAGTAAGACAGCTGATTGATGGGTGGGAGGGTGACAGGTGATTGCAGAAATGACAGACAGATGGAAATGTTGTAAGGAACTGGCTTAAGTATCTATGGTAGCTCAGAAACCTAACTATCCAGTTCACGAATTTCTGAAGGCCCGAGAGCCTTGCGATTTCATGTCTGGGGGCTGAAACACTTAACATATAAAATTAACTATCACATCCATTTTCCAATGTTGCATGCAACACGTATCCATTGTGGGGGTTTTTTGTTGTTGTTGTTGGTAGTTTGAATGAGAAATATTTAAATACTTGGTCTCCAGTTGCTGGTGTTATTCTTGAAGGTTGTGGAACCTTTGGAAGGTGTAGATTTTCTGGAGGATATGCATCACCGGAGATGGACTTTGAGGAGTTCCATCATCATCCCCGTTTCTGCTTGCTTCCTCCTATGTGAAAATAAAAATAAAAATGTGGTCTATCGGCTACAGCACCTGCCCCCGTCCCATGCTGTCTCCGCCATGACGGACTCCACTTCATTCCTCTGGTGCCAAAAGACGAAATAACCCACTTCTTCCTTAAATTGCTTTTGGTCAGAGTGTTTTACCACAGAAACAGTTAAAGAAAAAATTACTAACATGTTTTTATTTGCCTTTCTTTTGCTGACATTAACATTTACTGAAATTTCTTGGAATATATCCAGTGATGTCCTAGGAGGTATCATACATGAATAATCAACACACAGAAAATAACTGTGTTCTGATTAAAATACTTAAATGAAAAATAGATGACAAAGGAGGAAACTATGTAAACTGTAGCCAACTAAATATGAGATCCCATAAACTATAGCCAAGGTAGCCCTCAATAGACAATGCCTCCTGCTGTTCTTGCAGAGGACTAGAGTTTAGTTCCCAGCACCCCCAGAAGGCAACTCATAATCTGTGGAATTTTAGCTCCAGGGAATATAATTTCCTCTTCAATGGCCACCTGAGCTACATACACATACATAAGTACAGCACGTACACATATGACCCCCCCCCCCTTTTTTTTACTCTTAAGAAAATAAAAGGAAGAGGGCAGAGTCACTTTTCATCAAGGCTATTATTTAACATTGTTTTAGAAACAAGACACCAATCAGTTATATGAAAGATAGTTATGCATCATTTCATGGTGGCGGGGGGGGGGGGATGCCATGGAGCTCAGTCCCCTGTGAGTGATGGGCTGGTGCCCTCTTGAAGCTCCACCTATAATTAAAAAACTGTGCAGTATGGGGATCATTAACCATTCTATAACAGAGGGTGGGGAGAGACTCACAAGACCCTGCCCATCCCTAAGGACCTGCACCCACTTTATAGCTTCTGAGAATGAAGATGGGGGGAAGGGAAGGACTAATAGAATTGGGTTTTTTTTTTTCTTCACTGGTATAACCCCATTCCTGTAAACAACAACTCATCAATGTTCCTGTAAGTATTGTAATTAGACTCATGGGTCGATTCCACTACACTTGGGTGAAAAAATTTGTCATCTCTTGTAGTCTCTCCAGGAAAAGCTCATACAGTAGGCAGAAGCAGCATTATACAAACTCTATTTTTTTCTAATATCAGTAGGATATTATGCAGAATTTCCATAAGCTAATTTTACATTTATTTAGGAAAAATAGCTGAGTGGCCTAAAAATACTTTTTTAAGATATGAAGAGAGAATATCATCAGTCAGCATTGGTTTGGAGATGACTTGGTTTCGATTGTCACTGTGACCTAGCGAGACACGCATGCGCAGCAGATGAACAGACCAGGGCAACACATACTGAGTGTGCAACTCCGGTGAGATGGATGGGAGAGAAACCCAGAGTTTTCAAGACAGAATCAGGATGGCAGGAGGAAGGTAGGGAAAAACGGTTTAGAGCAACGCCTCGTGCTTTTCAGAAAAATCGAAAACCTGCAAGTTTACAAATGAAACGGCAAACCATGAATTTACCAAAATAAAACATAGGAGTCCTTCTTAAATCTCTTGATGTGGAGAATACCTTCCAGAGAATAGCTAAGCCAAGAAAGGCAAAACACACAACACATAGAAAAGGGAGAGGAGGGGAAAGAGGAAGGCTTGGAGGAAGGGCAGGCTTTTGTACATCTTCAAGGGGAAAACAAAAGTAAGGTGCTGTTCACAGACGAGTGATTAAGAGGCTGAACAGAAAGAGGAAACACAAAAGAAATGGATACAAGCTAGGAAACAAGGAGGACCATAAGAGAGGCAACAGGGTCCCCCAGTGAAGCAGAGAGGGACAAAAGCCCCTGAACAAAGGGGGAGCATGGGGGAGGGGGAGGGAGGTAAGAGAAAGAGGAGGGGGGAGGAGAACATGAGGACTCAGGAAGATTGAGTCAGGAGAGGAATAGAGGAGAACAAGAAAAGAGACACATCCATAGAGGGAGCCACTATAAGTTTAAAGAGAAATCTGGCACTAGGGAATTGTACGGAGTTCCACAAGGATGACCCCAACTAGGATCCTAAGCAATAGTGGAGAGGCTACCTTAAATGTTCTTCCCCTATAATGAGAATGACGACTACCTTAAATGCCATCCTAGAGCCTTCATTCAGTACCCGATGGAAGCAGAAGCAGAGATTCACAGTCAAGCACTGAGCCAAACTCCAGTTTCAGAGAGGACTGATGAACTAAGGGGTCAAGACCATGTTTGGAAAACCCACAGAAACAGCTGACCTGAGCAAGTGGGAACTCATGGACCCGAGTATGACAGCTGGGGAACCAACATAGGACCAAACCAGGCTCCCTGAATGTGGGTGTTAGCTAGGAGCATTGGGCAGTATATGGGGCCTATGGCAGTGGAACCAGTATGTATCCCTAGTGCACGAATGGACTTCAGGAGCCCATTTCCCATGGAGGGATACTCTCTTAGCCTATATACACAGGGGAAGGCCTAGGTCCTGCCGCAAATGACTTGATGAATTTTGATGATCCCTCATGGAAGGCCTCACCCTCCCTGAGGAGTGGATGGGGGATGGCATGAGGCATTGGTGCGGGGCATGGGGAGATGAGAGGGAGAGGGAACTGGGATTGATATGTAAAATAAGATTGTTTCTAATTTAAATAAAACCTATAAAATAACAAAAAGGAAATAGATACTTTTTCACAAGCTACTGGATACTACTTCTCACTGACTAGATCTGCAGTCAGAGTTTAGTTATTCTTCACGCTGGAAAAATGCATTTACAGCAAGCTCGTATGTCCACAGAGTGTAAAGGGCTGCCAGCCTCCCAGAGGACAACACCGTGTGATCCCACCTTGAAACTACTCTGCAGGTCCGTCTGCAGACCTGTGAAATGATGCGTGTACAGTGCAAGCCCTTGAGGCGTTTGCATTCTGGCAAAACATCTGGGATAGTTTTGAATCTCCATGGCTGCAGTTTGGGTTAATGCCCCCCAAAGCCCACATGCTGAAGGGCTGGCCTCTAAGCTGTTGCATTGAGGAGGAAGAGCTTTTCTGACGTGTTGCCCAATGAGAAGCAAGGTCCCGGGATACGACAGTCAGAGAGCGTGGAGACTGCAAGTTCTTCTACTTCTTCTCTTTGCTTCCTAACCACGATGATATGCGCAGCATCTCCTGTCTTATGCACCCTCTCCACAGACCCGCGAGAAACGGCCGTGGTCTGAAACCTCCAAAACTCAGGGCTAAACTAACTGTTTCTCACAAGTTGATTGTCTCAAGTATTTTTTTGTCACAGTTGTAGAAATCTTATGAGCAACACAATATCAGACAAATAGTCACAGAACGGAATAGTTTTACATGCATTTAAAAGTTGAAACTGATATGACACAATGAATTTTTTCCTAATCAAAGGCTGATGTCTTTTGCTGTTACATTATTTTAAGTTTTGTTAAATTCTTAGATAAATCTAACATTTCAAACATCTGAAGTATGACCATTAAAGAACAAGGCCCGGCTGGCTTTGTTGACTCCCCACAGGAGGCCTTGCTCTTTCTGAGGGGTGGATGGGGGCTGGAGTTGGAGGAGGGAAGGGAGGGAGAGCTATGGTGGATATGCAAATTGAATAGAAAATTAAAAAAAGAAAAGAAAAGAACGAGGCATAGTTGCTAGTGGGGTGCAATGTAAACCCTCTTACAACAGACTTCCTTAGGACTTTCACTCATGCTCTAAGGTTGTGACATTTTGTGGGAATGGTAAGTCCAGACCTGAACAGCAGGTATGTATCTGACCAAGAAAGGCTGACAAGAACCATGCGAACTGAAGGGACAATGTTCTGCAGAGTGCTGCAGAATGCAATTGCCATTGTCCCATGCAATTATGTATTGTGCAGACTACCGGCCCAGGAGGGGAAAGACCCAAGCTTGGGGGACAGTCCATTGTGATCTCTTCATAGTATAGAGCTTGTCAGGGGGCTTTGCAAAGCGTCCCTGCTTGGGCGGGTAGCCCAGAGTTCTCAGGAAGGAAGAAGGTGCTGGATCAGGGGAGTATATGGGCTCTCACCTTGAAGTCCTGCATCCAGGAGGAGAGAGTGTGTGTGTGTGTGTATGTGTGTGTGTGTGTGTGTGTGTGTGTGTGTGTGTGTGTTTGTGGTGTGTGTGTGTGAGAGAGAGAGAGAGAGAGGGGAGGGGATGAGGAAGAGGAGGAGCAGATGTGTATATAGGTACAGAGGCACATTGACATTTTAAATACTTCCTTATATTAATTTTTTAATTTGTTTATTTATTGGTTTTCAAGTCAGTTTTTTTTTCTGTGTAATAGCCCTGGCTGGCCTGGGACTCACTTTGTAGACCAGGCTGGCACAGGGATCTGCCTGCCTCTGTTTCCTGACAGTTAGGATTAAAGGCACTGCATCACCACACCCAGTTTCCTTTTTAGTCTTTAAAAAGAGAGAGACCTCTGTCGTGAAAAATGTATGATTAAGGCAGACATTTCTGATTGTACTTCGTCTGTTTGCTTTCTCTGTGTCACTGCTGTGTTTGTGTTTTCCTTGTTGCCATAGGACTCAAGACCATTGCAACACAGGAGAAAAAAAAAACGACTTAGCTGTCAAATACGGGATGATCGGCTGAGGAGCTTTAGCCAATGGGATCAGGAGGAGGCCGTGGGTGGAAACTCCTAAAAGGAGTCCGATAGTGATTAACAGTGGGAGGACCCTAGTTAAAGCTGCGTTCAGCCAGCACAGGGCAGGGCGGGCTGTAAAGATTGTTCAGAGGAGATGGCTAAAACTTAGCCAAGGAGAGAGTCTTCATCATAATTCAGCAGCAAAAGCCAGACTGGCACGCTGGAGAACAGTTCGTGGAACAGAATCCAGAAAGCGAAGAGGATTTAGGCTGTGTGATTAGGGAGGAGGCAAAAGCCCAGGCCAAGGCAGATGGACACCTTTTGAAGCCCTGGGCATCGCAGCAGAGACAAAAGCAGACAAGAGGGCTATGCCATCACGTGGGAAGAGTTTCATTTTGACTGGTTGTGCTAATAACACGCAGGCTATCGGAAACTTACAAAACTTGAAATCAGTCTTGCGGAACACCAAGAAAGTCAGAGTTAGGAAACAATATAAGGATCCCAGCCTGCCTTTTTAAACCCAGCAAGAGATTCTTTGAATTTTGCACCTCTCCATTCTCCGCATGTCTTCCATCTTTCTCCCTCGAATGCACTGGTGTCTGTGACGCAGCTTATGTTTGGCGTTCTGTAAGACTGCAGCAATTCAGAAAAAGATATTGTCACAGAACTCTTGCACAGCAACAGCAGCTCCACCAATGAGCTGCCACCGATTCCTTTCCCGGGTCTCCCCAACCAGTGAGCACCGTTTCCAAGCCACACGAGTGACTCTGGCATTGCTCACAGAAACTCCCCCCGCCTCCTTAGACACACACATGCTTTACGTGTGTACATATTCCCCCTAGCAATGCTGTTTATGTATTGCGTTTATTAATGTGTTGGGACTCTCTCGTTTAATATGTACTTGGACAGCCATAAAGATGGTGCTTCAGTGGTAAACGCAATCTGCCAGTCTGCAGAGGATCTGCAGAGACAGGTGGTACGGGTGGCGTGTTTCTGAAAACTGGTCATCTTCGGGGAGGAACCCATCTTCCAGCCATCTCCTGGGGCTTCAGGCTCCCAAGAGGATGGGAACCACCGAACTGCCTCCTGTGTTAACAACGAATGAGGACACCTGAGTTTGTGGGAGAATCAAAGCGGCATTATTAGCAGTGAAAGGATTGCTTCCCTGGCCCTCGGTTCTACTCTGCCTCCACTGTCTCTGGCTGGTTTGAGAGCACGTCACAGAGCCTTTCTCATTTTAAGTGGCATTTGCATTGTGTATACGCACTTTTTTTAGCTAGGTAGAAAGAAAAGACACTTTGGGGATATTACAAAGGGGGATTCTGCATGGACCTTGTTGAACATTTACTCAGGGGGTTTTGAGGATATAGTGTCCTTGTTGGAGCCAACAGCCCAGGCTAAACAGACACAGGGTTTATATAGGGCTGGGGGGGGGGATTGGTCAGATTTTAATGCTGAACTCACATTGGCTAGAGCTCCTGCTCAACGATTGGTTAGTTTTCTGCACAGGATTAGAGTCAGATTTGGCTCTGGTTTCAGAGTCAAAGTGTGTTTCTTTCTCTGGTCCTGTTTAGCCTTTTGGCTCTAATTTTAGGGCCAGGGTGCATTTCTTTCGCTGAGTCTGATTCCAGGGACAAAAATGTGTTTCTTTGGCTCTGCTCAGGGTGTGTTTCTCTGGCTGGACCCTTTTCTCTACAAGTGCCTTTGAAATCTTTATTTTAAAAGTTTAGTTCCTTGTCCATGCAGAAAGTATTTTGAGGAACAATTTGTCTCCTGAGAACATACCTTTGGTAGCCTGCAGGGATGCTAGTGACTAGTTAGAGGAACTTCTATTGATGGAGCTCAGGAGTTGAAGTCAGGATTCACATTCCAAACACACTTCAGAATAGGCCAATATGCTTCCAATAAGACCTGTGTCAGAATTCTTTAGAAGATAACCATATTTTGATTGCCAAGGATGTTCACTTCTAGAAGTCAGACTTCTACTCTGGACTTGTCATCATAACCTGCACATCAGACTAGTTTGTACTTTTTGCCAGTGGCATCATGCCTAAGTTTTTTTCTCACTGCTTAGAATACACAGATGGATGTTTAGCTGGGTTCTCAGTACATTGCTAAATTTTCTTGTCAATTGCATAAAAATGATAGTGATTGCTTCTGTCAAAATGTAAGATTATTTTTGGTGTGATTAGTATCTTAGGAGCATATCCCTTTAAATTAGACATCTGTACTGACTTTGACCCCAAAAGGCCCAAAAGACACAGCAAAGTCTCAGTACACTGAATGATGCTAAGTTACTATCTGTCCCTCTGTGATACATTAAGAGGTAGGACACAACGAAACTTCCCATTAAGGCCAGCTTCCCCAGGCACACTAGTAATAAAACTACTGCTGAGTCGCGCGCGCGCGCGCACACACACACACACACACACACACACAGAGAGAGAGAGAGAGAGACACAGACAGACAGACAGACAGACAGTCAGACAGACAGACAGACAGACAGAGACAGAGACAGAGAGAGTCTGAAGTAGCATGATGTTAACAAGTTAGCTCTTTTTCTATTGTTTTCCTGTCCTTAAATTAGAAAGAAAGTAACTTTGAAATGATCAATATGCTCTTTGATCCTCAGCCTCTTTTCTTCAGCTTTAGAAGCAATGTCTTCTTCTCAGACCACTGGAGCATTTATTCTACTTTGTGGAATGAATTGTTGCCTGTTACTAAAAGTAAAAATCAAGTCAGTAAAGAAGGTATCTAGTGGTGGATCGCACGTTGCCTACCTTCAGGGGACTATGTTTACTAGCATGCAAAAAAGAAAAAAAAAACATTGGCAGCATCTGGAGAGAGGCTCAGTCCCAGCAACCACACTGGATAACTTACAACCAACTGTCTTTTATTCCAATTCCAGATTTGATTCTCCCCTCCTAACTTCTGTGGGCACCCATAAAATTCATACACACACACACACACACACACACACACACACACACAAATGGAAATTAAGAACTTTAAATTATGCAATTTTGTTCCCTGGTAGTTGAGAATAATCACATAAATGTAGATTCTAGTCTAAATCATAAAAGATATCAGTGACTGGGAAACAGTTGTGGGGTAGATTAGTATGGTAGGCCTGTCTCCCTCTTCTCTTCTGTCCTCTCTCTGTCTCTGTGTCTCTTTACCTCTGTCCTCTTTCCTTCCCCCTTCCCTCCCCTTTCTAATAAAACTCACTTAAGCTCTGTCTGCTCTGTTTGTCCCTCCACCTAGGTCATCCTCTCCTGCCATGGAATCCACCAGGATTCCTCATGCTTTATCATAACAATGCCTAGTAGCCTCCTACCATTTCATTGAAACAAAGTAGGTTGTATGCTGATGATGGTTTAAGTGAGCAATGCCCCTCACAGGCCTGGGTATCTGAATATTTGATCTTCAGTTGCGGGTGTTGTGAGAGGAAGTTATCGAACCTTTAAGAGGTACAGCTTGCTGGAGGAAATACATCATTGTGGGTGGGTCTTGGGGATTTATTACCACCGTTCTACTTCAAGTTTGTTTTCTCTGATTTGTGTTTACAGTTGGAGATGTGATCTCTCAGCTTCCTGCTCTTGCCATCGTATGCCATTCAAAACGTGCTCTGAGAACCTTCCTTCCAGCAGTCATAGAGCCGAAGTTGTAAAAAAAAAAAAAAAAAAAAAAAAAGAACCAAGCCATCATGGTCATGGTGCGATGGGTGTACTTACAAGGTAGATGTAGATCTCAGTACCAAAGGCTGTCAACAGTTAAAGTGAGAGCATCGACTAGATAAGAGTATGAGTCATTTGGGAGGATGCAGATGAGGCCAGGGATGTCGAACTCTGTCAAGGCCAGCAGTACACCTTCACTGTTCTACCTGAAGGGGTACGTTAATTCTCTTCTGTCATTGTGGACTCTCCCTCTGGAACCATAAGCCAAAAGAAACCTTCTCTTCTATGGGTCACTTTTGGTCGTAATGTTTTGGATCACAGCAGTGACGAGCAGCTGACACGGTGCTATTCACCAAGCCACTTGTTTTCTACAGATTGTCATGGACTTACTTAAAGTGCTGTGGACACCGGGGAGGACTGAGACACAGGTACGAGCAACGCCTTACAATAACTAGCGTCACCCACAAGTTGCGGGTAGGGCTATTGTGCCCAGAAGCACAGAGGAGAGCGAGGAATTAGAGAATTGGAAGGCTGGGGAGGTTGAACAGCTGTCAGGCATACAGGCCAAGCCATATGCAAGGTGAGTGAGGCCGTGTCAGGTTTGAGCATGGAGTCTTTCACATTCTTTTGTAGGTTTGTAGACATCTTACTTTTCTCGGAATCAACAAACTAGGGAAATTCTGAATTTCACACCCGCAAAATATGGGCCTATAAAAATCAAAATAAAGTCAAATATGCTAGTGCATGCCTATACCCAGCATTTAGGAGTCTGAGACAGGAGGATTGAGTGTTCAAGTGTAACAAGGCTTTACCTCAAGAAATAATAAAGCTTCCAAATAAGCCAGGTACAGAAAAAAACAAACAACATGTATGGAAGCTATACATTTTAAACTCATAAAAATGAGCATAAAATGATCGAGTTACTAATGAGTAACGTTGGTCCAAGGACCCAAAGCTTTGTTTAGGCAGGAAGGGTAATGTTTTGAAAACTGTTGTATGAAATGGTATAGTTGATAATAAAACAAATTTCAAAATTGCTAGAGAGCAAATTCTTGAATGTCTCACCATAAAAATTCAATTAACTGTGGTGTTAATCTTGCTCATCAAATTGATGGGCTCTGGAATTAACTAAGGCATACCCCTCTGGGTGAATCAATGAAAGAATTTCCAGGAAAGGTAAACTAGAAGATGAGAACATACACACACTATTGGTTCTGTTCCCATTAAGAACTCTGTCTGAAACAAATCATGGTTGGTTCTAAGAGTGGTTTTAGAGAAAAGTAATTGTAAGAATGAATTTTTCTCCTGGGCTTCATAGAATCTGGAGCTGGCTCTCCAATTCCTAAAGTGGATAAAGACTCTTTTGGTGGGATAAAATGAGACACTCCGAGTTGATGATGTGAACTATTTAAAGAACTGTGTAGGAAAAAATGAATCTAGTACTGATGATTCGTATCTTATAAGGAGGGAGGAGTGTAGTAATTATATGTATAAAGGTTTTGAATATTTTTTTGTGAAAACAAGAAATACGATCATGAGGGTGTGTTGCATATAACATCTCTGGATAGAGTAACAGCAGAAACATCTGAGCTCAGAGACAAATTGTCCCAGCTTCAGATGTGCATAAATAATTTTGAAACTCCTAAACGTGTTCTGAGAATCATCTTTCCAGTTGGCATTGTAAAAAACCAGACCCGTGTGATTGGCTGATTTACAATGCAAGTATAAATCCCCATATCAAAGGATGCCAGCAGTTAAAGTGAAAACACTGACAAGTAAAGAGGACAACTTGGACTGGAGATGTACAGGAGGAAGCAGATGAGGCTAAGGATGTTGAACTCTGGCAAGGCAGCAGTACATCTTTCCTGCGCTACCTCAAGGGTACATTAATTACCCGTGATCTGTTTCACAACATCTCTACTGCAAGGTATCACAATGCTCCA